TGCTTTAATGATAATACATTCTGATACAGTTTCTCTTTGCCAGCTGATCTTTCCTATAAAGTTTTCAGTGCTGTTCCACGCAGTTTTCATGGGATGCTTAGAAATTCATTTTGTTTGGTTGCAGACTTTAGTCATGGAGTGTTGTGTCCTGTGTCTGGTTGTGTCCTAGATGCTGCCTCTGGCCAGCTGGTCTACCACTTGGCTTCCAGCTTAACTTTAGTCCTGGGACGATGAGGAACTAGATGCTTGAGATAGAAGAGGTGGCAGGGGCATCTTCTAATGCAGATCTGAGAAGGGGCATCCTCATCCTCTTCCCGCTACCCTTGACAAAGACAGTCCGTACACACAGACCCGAAGATTCAAACTGAAGCCCCAAATTCCTTTTTCCTCAACTGTTCTTGTATTTCTTTCAGGATTGGTTGTCCTTTAGACTGCAGGAAAGGGATAAGAGAATTGAAAGCTACTCAGATCTTGGGGCTACATGGGAAGAGATTAAGCTGGCCAGAAGTGGAGAAAAATAACTTGGGAATCCAGATGTTCTTCCATCAGCCCAATTTCCTTTTCCCCCAATAGGCCCTTCTTACCGATCTCACCCATATGAGTGACTCCCTGCTGGTGCATCCTGCTCTGTGTATTGAACACATGTACAGCAATGCATGTTCATTCCCTATAGTGTTGCCTCGGGGGATTTAGGTGGCGGTAATGGGGATACCAGGCAGTGCAGTTTAGACCTTTGACTTAGGGAGAGGTGGCCCAGCTCACAGCCCTTCTTCCTCACCACAGCAGGGGCAGTCTGCAGGAAGCCAGGTTTCTCTGTGTCCCTCCTGTATGACTTGGGCGAGTTCTTCAAGCTCACAATGTCTGATTGTGCCTGATTAAAACCGAGGGAAAGACTGATCCTGAAATCCCAGAGGTGATGTAAGAAATAAGTGACATCAGCCTTTAAATGTGGAATCGTGCCTGACACGTGGCACACTCTCCAAAGCTGAGAATTGTTATTACGTGACCTTAGGCACATTACTTTTGTCCCCATTTTTGCCAAGGAGGAAGAATGACATGAAGGGTACCTTCCTAAGTACTCACTTGGAGGGTTAATTAAGATAATGCTTATAAGTACCAGTTCTACTGGACAGACGTGATCAGTACCCATTAGTGCATATCCACATTTCCACAGCTTCTACCACCAGATCTTGGGTTGCTTTGTTTGGTGCCTCTGTATTTTTGTTGTGTTGCTGGAATTGGGGGTTCAGGTTGCTTGTGTATGACGAACGTTTGGCAGGAGAGGGAGACCCAGAACAGCAGCACATTGCAGGCTTCTCAGTCATGTGAGAGCTCATGCTCTAGAAGAAGTTTGGTTTCCCAGTGCTTTTTCTTGCTGTCTTGTTCGCAGGGCAACCCAGCATCCAGGCAGCACTCAGTGTCTAGGTAAGACAGATGCTGTCTTCTGGGAGTGATTTGGATCCCACCAGGAGACAGAAATTTCTGGACTCAGTTTTCATTGTCATAACTGCAAGGATGTTACTGTATCTTGCAGGAGCTGGTGCTGTGCTCCCTGTGCCGCAGTGCACTGGATGTCCCACATAGCCAGGAATTATCCGACCAGAAATGTCAACAGAGGGACTATCAGAAAACTGAAGCAAACACTGCAGAAAGTGGGAAGCAGCCTCTCCCTATGCTGGCTGAGGGCCTGAGGGCAAGTGACTCAAAGTACGACAAAGAATATTCTCACCCTGGATTCCCAAGTTACTTTTCTCCACCTTTGGCCAGCTTAATCTCTTCCCACATTGCCCCAAGGACTGAGCAGCTTTGAATTCTCTTATCCGTTTCCTGCAGTCTAAGGGGCACCTAATCCTGAGCTGTGTGCTGTGGCAGATATGGGAGAAAGATAATTCTGGTCTTACCCTTTGGAAGAAAGCCTCTTTCTGATAGCTGTGCATTAATAGGAGTCATTCTGCTTGTCACTGACAGGCACACCCCAGTACCTCACAAGCTTGGCTGCATGAGCAAGCTGCACAATCAAAATGACCGGAAATGAGTAGATTCAGATATGAACCCCTGGAGTTGTGTCCAGCTGTCTAAGAGTTAGTGTGAATCTCTGGATTGGGATGGGGGAGGTATGGTTGTGTGTATAGATAAGTATGCATATGCACAGTTACTATTTCTACTTTTTTTGGTATCTTTATGTTTCTTTTCCTCTCTATGGATGTTTATGTCTCTCTTCATCTCTGTCTGCCTCTTGGTCTCTGTTTCTTTCTCTCTGTCTCTCCCTTTCTTCTCTTTCTCTCTCTTTCTTCTCTTCTCATGTTACCCTCTTTCTCCTTGTTACACTGTCAGGGTTTTTTTTTGTCTCTGTGTATCCGCATCATTATTTTAGACTTAATCTTCCTACTGGGCTGGGAGCATTTTTCCTGGCAACTAGAGAAGAAAGATGATTCTCTCCACTGGGAAAGACCATGCCAGGTCAGAGGACATTATTGGAGTTCACAGAGATGGGCTTCCATTATTGACTAGCTAGCCTAGCCAAAAATACATGGCTCAAGTCAAGAAGAACAGATTCACATAGGATAGAAGAGGAAAAGGATGCTAAGTAGAGCAAAACCACAGATGTCCATGAGATAAGATCAACTCAAGAGAAAGAAAAATCTTAATCGCAATGTGAAAGCAGGGTTCTGGGTTCCCCAGAACTGTGAAGCAGCACATTTACTCTGTGCTCTACTGATCAGGGAAGGCTCACAGGAAGACCTGGTTCTTGGTTCCGGCTTTGAAGATGTATAAATCTTAGGTGGAAGGGCATGAGCATACCTAGATAAGAGAATGGCTTCTTGCATGTTTCATTAGCTTACTTACCTTATTACCAGTTCCTAAGAACTAAGGACTTTTTTCCTTTGTTTAGTAGAGCATAGAGTTTGATTACCACAATCATGCTTAGTCATTATAGTTCCAGTTGTATCTGTCCTACACTACTAGTGACTGTGGAGAGAGGGCACAAGGACACCTGAGAAGCTGCTAACCCTGATAGTACCATCTTGTTCATGAAAACCAGAAGCCTGCTGAGCAAGGAGGTGTCAGTATAATTCCTCTGTCCTTGATGCTCTGTGTCTGACATCAGGCAAGTTTCACGTTGGAATTGGACATCGTCAATGGCAGACTGTTTATTAATTTATAAACACACAGGAAGCACATGGCATGTGCTACAAACATAAGTCCTATTGGCTCAAAAATAAGTAAGATAAGGTCCTATTTCCCTAACATTTATAGCTAGGTGGGAAAGGCACAGGAATATATTGGCAATTGTCCAAGGAATGTGATCAATCCGTGCAAAGCCGTGGTTTTCAAACTTGGCTACACAGCTGGGAGCTTAAAAGCTAATGATGGTGTGGTCCCATCCTCTTTGATGGTGGCTCCGTTGGTCTGTTTCATAGTTCATGATAGTAAAGAGCTATCTTGCAGGACCACTCAGGCAAGGATGTTACGAGCTGATAAAGATTTCAGTAAGAGCAGGGAAGGAAGGACTGATGCAGGACTGAGGTCAGGAGTCATGGAAGGCAGGGTGAGTTCGGTGGAGAAAAACAGGACACAGAGATGAAGATGTTAGAGCTTCTCCAGGTGGGGAAGTCAGGATATCCTTCTTCTTCTGGCCAAGATTCTGTGTGACCTTAGACAACATCAACTTCTCCATTCCTCAGGTTCTCCTTCCTCTAGATATAACTAATGACCCTGCTCTTATTGCCTTAAGGTTTTGCCATTAGGATCAAATGAGATTAAAAAAGAAGAAAAGAAAGTATACCAGTGACCATTGGGGAATATAAACCAAACCTTTTATTCAGCGTCTTTCTTAAATAACAGGTTTCACTTTTCAAGACAATCATTTTAATAAATATTATTTTATTTTCTCCAAACTATATCACTCACAAGCCCAGTTTCTTAGACAGAGCATGCTGGATAGCAGTGAACCCCTGCTTCCTTTTGCCTGTGTGTTCAGCCCCTCAGCATAGACGGCGGACTCTGAGCTATGTTAAGATGCAATCACTCCCCCAGGGCTTTTGAGAAATGTAGGGATTTGTGGTGCAAAAGATTGGATTTTCAATTCTGAGGTCTGTTTTTCATGTTTTCCAGTTCTCTTACTATTTAGGTATGAGCTGTTGATTCTCAACAATCTACTCTTTTACTCTAACTTGCTGTTGCTTAGCTAGTAAAGGCTGGAAAGCAAGAATACCAAACTGAAGATGGTGTTTAACATAGACTCTGAGCGAGAGCACACCTGAGAGAAAGGACTGCACATGTGCTCTTCCCTGCACAAGGTTTCAATGTGTGTGTGTGTGTGAGCACTTTAAGTTGACCATGAGTGTGACTCTCCTAGAAGTAGAAGACTGTGGGCTTTATATGTGGGGTTCAGAGGTCTGTGAGGTTTATTTTTAGGGATTCTTAACCTTCCTTCTTTCTCACTGTTGGCTAGAGACTCTCTCAACCCAATTACCAGGAGAAGTTTACCCTTGTCAAATTAGGTTTTGAATGTCCTTTTCAAGGAAGAAGGAAAGGAAGGCAGATAGGATAAAATCGGGAAGGCAAACAGGGAAGCAAACAGCAAGGTCAGGAGGCTGAACTCCCCAGGAGAGGGTAGGCGGAGCAAGTGGAAGAAGGAATCAGCAGGGTGAGAACGCAGACAGACAGAAGACCATGGTGGAGGGAGAAGCTCGTAGAAGGTACAGGTCGTGAGGAAGAGGCGGAAATGGACGGAGACCAGCATCACTGTGGGGTCTGTACTCATTTTTTATTCCGAGTTACTGAGTCATGGAAAGCATTCTAGGACTTACGCATTGTGGCCTCTGCAGGTGGCAGTTTCTAGGGCACTGCTGGAGCAGACAGTGGCTGTCTTCTGCTGGTCCCCCCACCGCAGACTGCCCTGTTGGAGAGGACATTGCCGAGAACAGCCCCGTGCTCCCCACATTGCTGCTTGCCGTCTTTGTCTTCACTGAGACTCTGTCTTCCTTCTTCCCCAGGTCGGTGGCTGGACTGGATAAGGAGGCGGACCTGGTACACATGGAGGTGCGCACAGCAGATGGATGTGAGTCCCGGGAGATCTTCCCACAGGTCTTCCCCCTCCCCAGATTTGCCTTTTAATGGCTTGGGAAGATGAAAAACCCGAAGCACCATTATTGCCCTATCCATCCTTATTTCCCAGAGTGGGGAAGAGACTGCTGTCCCTAGAGAGTCATTTTATTGAAATAGACCCTCAGGAATGAATTTTCTAGGAATGTGAGTTAGCGTGATGAATTAGTGTGAGGTGCCTGTAGTAATTTCCTCTGCATCCTCAATGTAATTTGAATAGGGATATCCGCTGATGTGCTATTTTACATATGCATAGTGAATTTTAGGGGACCTTGCTTTAAAATACAAACTTTTATATGGCCAGGCTTACCAGAAGAACTGGGCAGTTATTTATAAAAGTGTTTTTCCGTGAGGGCATGCTTGGGGATGGCCTGCACTCACCTGATGTCATTTGGGTCCTTAGCCGTGTAATCCTGAACTGGGTTTATGCTGTAATTGTCCTGGAAAACCAGGAGCTCTGAGGATGGGAGGGGAGTGGCTTACCTGAGGGCAGAACACCTGCTGACCAACTGCAGGGCTCTGGGTTCAGTCCAAGCACTGCAAGAAAAAGGCTATGATCCAACAATGGATTTCAAACATAGGACCCATGACCTCCTTTGCAATACCTTGTGTGGCTGTTTGGACCTCACACAAGAATTTGACTGAAAAACATCATTCTGCACCAATTTAAACATCAGCTCTTCCAGGAATCGATCACATTTGTGGGCTCTTTGCTATAAAAAGGCAACACAAATTGACATACAATTAAAAGTGTGATTAACATCTCCTAGACTAGACATAAAGCCAAATAATAGGCATAGCCTAGAAGTGGTCTCACGAGGCCCTGTGTGTGTGTGTGTGTGTGTGTGTGTGTGTGTGTGTGTGTGTGTGTATGCGTGCGCGCGCACATGTGCGCACGTGTTTGTGTGTGGCAGGGGGAGGGGTGGTCCTGAGCTCTGCCACCCTCCGTGAGACCAGGAGTGAAACTCTAATCCTTAGCTTCCTCTGTGGTTTGAAATGCTCTCCTTGTCCTGATCAACTCTCACAGCTCTGTGCTAACCTTGCAAGTGAGTGGTTACAGAAGTGACGGAGTGGATGCCTCGTATAAGGAGATTCTGCTTTGGCCTGGCCCTTGGCATTGCTGTGTGGTTCAACATACATTATGTAAAACAGCACATGCTTCTGTGGGAGAAATCTGTCTGAGGCTGACTACAAATGCCCGCCCGAAGCATGCGTGCTGAGAACTACTGTGTTCACTTTAGCTTAGTTTTAGAAGAGTTGGAAGGCAATCAGATTTATTACTCTATCCTGGAACTCTACTTGTCTTCCTTAATCCCTCACTGGCTGCCTGCCTGCCTCCTTCCTGCCTTCCTTCCTTCCTTTTCTTTCCTCTCTCACTTGTCCCTGGACTAAGTGTAATCTCTCAGGCAGGCAGGTGTGGCACACACTCCTTTCAGATTTATTTTTCAACAGAAGAGCTATTTGAGACTTAAGAGATATTGTCCTGCATCTAGAGTCACTGATCCTGCACATGGTCAATTGTGATCTAACTTTTGGCTGCTGAGGAGACTAGGAGAATGAAGGAGCTTTTAGGATTTGGAGGAGCTGAAAGGACAGTTGGACAAAAGCACAGAACTGGCCTTAGAAAGTGACTCATGGCCACCCTGCATTGGCTTCATTTTCTACATCAAAAATGTAAAGCCACATATGTGATGTGTAGTGGTCACACTAGTGCAGAGCTTAGAAACTTCACCCGATGGTCTGACATCCTGTGGAGTGCAGAGAGGCCCTCCCCAAACCTCTCAGGTGCCAGGAGGCTTAAAATACAGCCTTGCCTACTCTGGACTGACTATTTGTTTGTTTATTTGTTTGTTGTTTGTTAAAGCAATTTCTCATGTTAAATTTAAATTTATTTTCTGAAAGTTCAAGAATTCTAGTCAAAACTGGCACAAGGCCTATAATGTAGGACAGCTGTGCAATTTTATGAGATTAAGTATGCAAAACACATAACATATTCCCTGGTCTATTTTCAGAATTCAAGAATTGAAAAAAAGACCCAAGCAGAAATATAACAGCAATAAATATCATTTGCTCTATTTAGGTTAAGGGATAGTGTATATTAGTTGTATTATATTCTCTAGATTTTTAAAATCTGTTTTTCAGTATTTATTTATTTATTTATTTATTTATTTATTGTACCTGGAATCAAACTCATGATCGCACACTTTCCAGGCACATGCTGTGCTGCTGAGCTAGAATATATTCCTTTAACTTACTGAATTGGCTGCAATCCAGCTTTATTTGGAAGTGCATACAGAAAAACCGCATTATTGGAAGGGTATTGTATTTTACAAACTCCAGTCAAATGCATGAGGTCCCTTCCTTTAATATACATAGTGGGTGCTTCTCTGTACCCAGAATGCCAGACTTGTAAAGCATCTCTAACCTTTGATGTGTATAGGAAGGTATACTACATAGTATGTGTTCATTGCTTTTTTTCTTATATGATAGCTTAAATTCAAATGTACCTAAATTCACACAGCTACTTAGTGATAGGGAAAAAATAGGGCCAAAGCTCCTTAACAACCGGGAATAAAAGGGAACTTCTGATAAAGGATGTCTACAAAGATCTTTCATAAATATCACAATTCATGGTGAGGTACTGAGAATAGGCAGAGGGAGGAGGTAGACACCTTGACCACTCCTGCCCTCATCATGCTTGAAGTCCTAGACACTGCAATAAAGCAAGAAGATGAAGTAGGACTGATATTGATTGCCAAAGAAAAACAAAGTGTTTTCATCTACATGATCATCCATGGAGAAAATCTATGGAGTCTGGAGACACATACACACACACACATGCACGCATGCATGCACGCACACCCACTAAGAACTAATAAAAGAGGTGAGCACTATGGCAGCATACATAACAAAATCAATAGAGAGAGGGTATCATTTTCCACACAATTGGGGAAAAATTAACTTCAACTTATGATTCAGAGTTTATTCAAATTTAACTCAAAGTAGATCATAGATCTAAATTTGACACATAAAATGTTTAAAATGTTAGAAGAAAAAAATCTTCATAACCTTATATTTACAAAGAGATCATTATAGATACTATAAAGTAGATAAAGTAAATAACAGAGACATTGAGCTTCATCAGGAATTTTAAAATACCACTTACTTTTAACAGCCACTAAAACTTTGGAAGAAAATATTTCAAATGATATATCCATCAAAGAACTGGTAGCCAGAACATATAAAAAAAACCTCTCAAAACATAGAAAGTTTTTTGTTTTAGAAATAGGGAAAAGTTTGAGCAGATAATTTGGTGAAGAAGATAAAGATGACAGATAACACCATAAAACACTCCTCACCATCATTGGACATAAATTAAAACCATGTGATCTATCACTATGCACCAATCAGAATCACTGAAATAAACAAAACTGACAGGACCAGGAACTGACCAGGGTGTAAAGCAAATAAAACTCATGCACTGTTAATGGGAATGCAAAATGGTAAAAAATGGAAAAAGGCTCTGTAACTTCTCATAGCTTCACTCACACTGTGTCCTTTGTCAGTCCTATGCCTACATTTTTATCCTTGAGAAATGAAATTTTACTTTCCTAAGGAAAGCCTGTATGCAGTTTTCTGTAACAAATGTATTAATGATCACCAAAGCTGGAAACAGCCTAATTACTCTCTTGTGATGAATTGATTAACGAGCTATGTACATCTATAAACTACAATGCCTCTCAGTAGTATTGATATTTGCAACAAATTTCAAAGGCATTATGCTTGGTAAAATAAGCCAGTCTCAAAAGATTACATGTTGTATAATCCCATTAGTATGCCTTTATAGGAAAGACAGTCTGTAGAGAGGAAGAATGTACTAATGGTTCCCAGGATGGGGAATTACTTGATAGTAGTCTCCATAAAAATCTATATATTTGTTGAAATATGTAAAAAAAGTACAAAAATTCATTGTGTGTATATTTGGAAACATTAATTATATATTTAAAAATGTGACTGTTAAATTCTATGGTGAGAGAAAACTAGAAGGCAGAATTCCTGGTTTCTAATTCCATAGCACATTCCACACTTTTTCATCCATCCATTCATTCATTTGTTCATATATTCACTCATTGGTTTGTACACCTCGATCTTGTTTTAGCTAATCAGTATTTATTTAAAATCTGGGATGGGGGTCACTGAAGGGATGTGCAGGCCAATGCGGAGGCATCCCTGTTGTGAAAGAACATGTCATTTTTCTGGGAGGTAGACAGGTGTTCAAATGCTCTGCATGCATTTCACCAAAGGCTTCAATGAAGTTGAGCATATATTATTATACTGGATCCTAAAGAAGACTGTGACTAATAACCTGAGTGAATTGGGGGAAGCATCTCCATGAGAAGAAATGTTTGATTTGCTGGTAAAGGATTAGTAGGGATTTATCAGGGCATTCTGGATAGAGAGAAGAAACTTGCAAGTTCCTAGAATTGGAAGTGGTAGCATGTGCAAGGCTGCACACTGGGAAAGAGGGAAGAGAGACAGAGCTGGCAGAGGGCTGCAGAGGACCTGGCAGGGTCTCGTGAGTGCTCCCTGAGCTATAACCTGTGCTAAACAGTGCATCCAATTTGATCATCATGATAAAAATTTATGATTCAACTGTAATTTCCTTAGCTATACCTCAGATATGGATTCTGGAAGACAATCACTGGTCATTTTAAGATGCTTCCTATGTGCCTCTCTATTTGCCTGTGTTCTGCTTCGAATGCAGAAAATGACAAGCCAGCTCCCATGCCAGCCCGTTGAGAACCAACCTCCAGCTCTAGAGCACAGGGCAGCTTTGCTGTGTCTCCCTTGCCCTCCTCCCTGTCCTGACCAACTTCCTCATAATTCTAGATCATGTGGAGATGGGAGGGAAGCTGCTTGTCCTGTGTCCTCCTGTGAGTGTGGAAGTAGCATGGA